CAAGCAAGGGTGTTTTATTTACTTGTTTTGTTCAGAGTTATGTTAGTCCCTCTTTTTGGTTTATAGTTGCATATCCATGTGTGGCTAGATATGCTAGTTCACTATAAACAGAGCTCTGATACCAACCTGTCACACCCCCGAACCAGACGGCGGAAACGTCCGAGGGCTATCGTGACTCATTGAATACCATCACAATGCATATACATGAAACATAACATATACATCACCAACATTTGGAATGATACAACTGGTAGCGTTTACATTCATTACATTGTTCAAAACATTACATTCTCAAAAATAACTGTTTGACACTACTTAAACCACAGCAAAACGTCATAGAGTACAAATCATCCTTCACCTTATCTGTTACCTGAGAATACAAGTATTTTGAAAACGTCAACATATGAAATGTTGGTGAGTTCATAAGTAGTGTTTGAAATCCAATGTATTGTTTGAAAACCATCAGAAAATCCGATATTTTCTAAAAATAGATAGTGTAAAAATATGTGATGATCCATGAGTATGCTTGTTTGAATTCTATAGATGTAAGCGTAAGAGTTGTGAAATTCGACCGGTAATTCATAATTGTACTTGTTGAAAACCCTAGGAAAACCCGACGTTTTCCTATCACTTTGCTTTACTTAGTTTGTGTACCGTTGTTTCGTTGCGTTAGAGGAAATCGTTGAGCTCCGGAGGCATTGAGAATACAGTGGGTGGTGAAGTGTTGTGACGTGCGTTAATGAAAACGTCCAATCGACAACCTTACAAGCGATCCCTTAGGCGTCACTCGTAATTCTTCACACAACTCAATCCTCCCGGACTTGTGTAGTCCCACGACCGGAGGGAAGAAGAGAAGGTGCGAAACCCTCGGTATTTCCCCGCGTCGTTCAAGACCATTGCAATTGCGAAGGGCCCGAAGCCCAATCCCGCAATCGTGAGTTCCGACTTTACTAGCAGCACTGAAGGACCCTTGGGGACCAACATCATGTTTGCCATTGAAAGTCCTTTTACGTTATGTCGGATCGGTAAAACCCAACACTTCGTAAGAGATAGGTCTTCGGGCCTTAAGATCAGGTCATTGGGCTAGCTAGGCTCAACAAACAAGATTTTACACTTTTGGGGCCCAAAGATGGTACGTAGACGTCTGTGCACACTCGCATGTATAGTGACTTCCCAATCGTTATTAGTTATGAATCGTAATGTCGTAATGTCATAGTGTCGTCGTGTTAGTAGTTTCGGATTTTTATTGGTTCGAGACCGAACCAATTCGTTTGACAACGACTTTTGGTATTGTAATGTATTGTATTTCGTCGATAGGCGTGGTACCATCATTTGGTCAAATTGCATGTATTGAACTAGCCTTGAGAATTTTCTGTTTTCAGCCCCTCCTTGTTTGTAAAATTTACCCTTTTCACCCCTTTATTTAAAAACTTTCCGGTTTGGTCCTTAAATCAATTTTCTTGACATTTTAATACCAAACATTACTGAAATAAGTATTTTCCAGCATATTTTTCATAGAAAACAGCTTAAGTCCTTGATATTGCAGTTTTCTCGGTTATAACCCATCTTTTTAGCAATTTTTACATTTTTGGCCCAATTTGGAAATTTTTTGCAACTTTGGTCCTTTTTAAATTTGAAAAGCATTTTAAACCTTTGAAAAGTACATGGAACACTTATAGTCCACTGTTTTACAGAGAAATGTAGTTTTGGCCCTCCAAAACAGCAAATTTCGCATATTGGGCCTCATTGGGCCGAAAATGTCATCTTTAGCCCAATAAGCTTGGAATTTATGTTTTTAACCCTCCAAATAGTATATTTTCAGAAAATCCATTATGTAAACTGTTTTGACTCATCTCACCCATAAGATTTCGAAATATTTCATTTTAGGCCCTTCAACTTTGTATTTTCAACATTTTATGTCAAAAAAAATGAGTTTTTAGCCCAAATTAAGTGTTGTCAAGCCATTTGGCTATTTTTCTTAGTATACTTTGCATGTAGTAGTATATTTTATGCTATAATAAAATACATATCTCGGTTTTTAGCATTTCATAACTAGATCTAGTATCAAAATCATACAAAACATACATATAAGCATAGAAATCAACCACAACATACACATAATGATGGATCTACACCTTTGCTTGTATTCTCCCCCACAAAAACTTATAAAAACCGAAAATAAGGGGGTATGAAACTCACCTTGTTTGAAGCTTTCGGTTTTTGGAAGAAAAGATGGAAGAAAGTTTGGTGATTTTCGGGCTTAGCACCCCTTGATGAAGATCTCGGCCTTGAGGTGTTTCTAGGATACAAGATCATGATTTCTCATGAATTAAGAAGAGATATTTGATAGATCAAGGAAGCTAGATCATAGAATTAAGTAAAAACTTACCTAAGATGATGACTAACTTGCAAGACCCTCTTGAAAGCTCCTAATTTTCGAGATTTTTGGAGTGGGGAGGAAGGAGTGGTCTTAAGTGATCTAGAGAGAATGGGATGGATTTTGTGAGTGTGTGTGTGTGTTGTGTTCGGCCGAGAGTGAGAGGGAGGAGAGGAGAGAGTGATTTTTGAAGTGATGTGCATACATGGAAGTATGAGATGTTGCATGGATGTCCATTAGGTAATAATGATGTGGCACTAGAAAGTCAACCCTTCTCTTGGGCTTGCTTTGGGCCGAGAACATGGAAGGAGAAAGGAAAAGTTTGGGCTTTTTGCTCCTAAGCCCAATATTAGAGTTAGTCTTAGGTATTTATTGGCCTATAAAATAAAATTGTGATTTTTATGTTTTAATAAGCTAGATTGGGTTAATCATGGATCAAAACTTTCAATTTATTTCATTATAGGCCCAATATGGCCCATAATATTGAAATAAATGAATGTGGGTCCAATTAGAGCCCAATTAGGGTTCTAAGCCCATGATAGTCCAATTGGAAGCTTATTGGTCCATTTGGATCCAATAAGGAAGTTCTAGTCCAAAGTGGATCTAAATAAGAACTTCTAGGGTTTCCAATTGCTTGTTGACTATTTGTAATGATCGTATGGTGTATTTGATTGAAATTTTGTTGTCACAATCATGGGTGTTACACATGTTCTTAAGCTTTTGATTCACTTTAGCTTGAGTGTATAGTTTACAAGACACAAAATTTCCAGTTGTGACATCATCCCCCCGTTAGAGGGAATTTCGTCCCGAAATTCTGTTTGAATGCTAGATTTGAGAATGCTAGAATAGGTGAGGGTACTTTTGCTTCATTTGATCTTCGCGTTCCCAAGTGAATTCTGGCCCACGCTTTGCGTTCCACCGTACCTTCACGATTGGGATGCGGCTCTGTTTAGTACGCTTCACCTCCCTGTCCATGATTTTGATTGGTTCTTCGACGAACAGGAGATTCACATTGATTTCGATTTCGTCAAGAGGAATGACAAGGGTTTCGTCTGATAGGCACTTACTGACGTAGGTCACGATTTCCGCCTTCATGTTAGGCCAGCAATAGTGTTGTTTAATATCCAAATACATCTTATCGGAACCGGGATGAATAGAGTACACTACTAGAAAAACAGCCTTTTACGATGCTCATTGCGCATCGTAAAAGGCTCAGACGACGCGCGAATACGCGTCAAGGAAGGCCCTGTCATAAAGGAAGACGTCACACTTTTGCGCGTCGTCTATAGACGACGCGCATTTACGACGCTCATTTACGACGCGCATTTACGACGCACAATGCGTATCAAGGAAGGCCCTATCATAAAGGAAGACGACACGCATTTGCGTGTCGTAACCTTACGACGCGCGTGTTAATGACACGCAATGCGTATCAAGAAAGCCCCTGTCAAGAAAGGCCATGTCATAAATGAAGATGACACACATTTTTGTGTATCATAATTTTAAATGTTTAAAAAAAGTATTATTTATAGATTTACTAATTGTCAAATTAAATAATACATTAAAAATCTCATAATACAAAATAAAATACCATAAATAACAAAGATAATTCATTTCACTAATATGTCAAATACAAATAATTATTCCAATAGTGAGTAAATGTTATAAAAAATGAACTCATTTATATAGAAGTGCATTATCTAGCTTACTATGTGCCAACAACTCTTTGTGTGTTTACTTTTGCTTGATTCTTGTTTCCTCCAAAGCTTCTAGCCATGCCAAAATATGATATCTTAGGGTTCATGTCCAAATCAAGTAAAACATTGCTAGCTTAAATTCATCAAGTCCTTGGCGTGAAGTCTTAGATAGAATCTTAACTGCAATCTCCAATCCTTCTAGCAGACCCTAAAGATCATTATTGGCCATGTACCAGGATCAACCTGCAATCTGTTATTACTTGCAACATCTTTTGCCTGTTTGACCAAGGTTATGCCTTCAGCAGCAACATGTTGCATTGCGTCAAAATGATAAAAACAAATGACAACAAATACAAATAACTGCATGCTACTTTAAAAAAAATAGAATCCAACTCCTAAATCACAAAACCTTTTTAAACATACAAGAGACAGGATCCAATTCATGGGGTATTTTTGGAAAATAGTCTTAACATTCTTGACAAATCATCAACCTGCAAGTGAAGGGTAGAAAGGGAATTGGAGCTTGGTGATGCTCATGCTGGTAATTGAAGCTTCAAACGCCAAGCCAGGTAGGTGATGCTCATGCTTGAAATTGAAGCATGGAATTGCTTTTCCAATTGTACGTACACATACACATGAGATGAGAATAAGAAACTACTGTATTTGATTAGGTTTAGCTAATAATAAGCTAAGGAAGGGGAATGTGCTAAGAAGTTATTATGTATAGAATGAGAAAGAATAATAACCAAAAATCCTGTCTTAGACTTATTAACTTTTCACCTATTTGTCTTTCTTCCTAAAAATATTCATTTAATCTGAATAAATATTATGAAACTTGGTTTATTGAAAGCAAGTATTAAATGGTCATGGTCATGGTCATGTAGTAGTAGTCTTATTCAATCTAGAAAATTGCAAATTTTGTCCCACTACCACCCAGGCGAAGAGTAAAGACGTAAATGCCCTTCCTCATAAAGCCTGTGTTATTATGATTATGCTTAAAGTAAAAGACTGAACAGAAAGAATGGGAATGGAGGTTAAGTACCTTATGAAGTAATAGTAGAAGAAATCAGCATAAAGAGCTGTTTGTATTAAGCTAGAGAAACAGGCTGAAAACAAACAAACAAACAAACAAACAAAAAAGTCAAATGAAATACATGTATAGACAATAAGAATAAGAGAAAAGCTTTAACTTACATATCCATCCATTGAAATGGGGTTGTGTGAGATACCGACAAATCCAGTTGAGAATATTCAATGCACGGTATGCCCTAACAATACAATGCAAACAAACAGATTTTCATTCATAGCATCCTATTTTCTAAATGATTATTATACTATTTTTGATCATTTAAAAAACCATTTTTCATGGTTATCTAGCTTCATAATGATATCATGCCAAAATATAGAAAGGAGAATACCCAAGAAAGAAAACATATTGACCGATCAAATTGTCAGCATTTCCACTTCGCTGCAGCAGAACCAACTGTGGGAGAATAGCAACAGCTTCCAAATAGATAGAAAATGCCCAACATATCTGCACATTCCTAATAATATTAAAATTGTACAACCTTATCTATTGCTACATTTTTGTATCTTTATAACACTCCAATTAGGCTAAGCTTTTTTTGAGGAGGGCATTCAGGTCTTTTGGACAAGAGCCAGTCCATGTTCTTTTCATATCTTCTTAATAATCAACATAACCGCACTTATTCTCATATATAATTTTGTAATGATTAATTGATTATAACATGTTTCAGCACAAAGACAATGAATTAACTTAACTGTAGTCTGCTTATAATCCTGGCACAAGGTGAAATCTTTATAACATCGGGTGAGTCCACACTGATATTCAAACACAAAACAAGAGCAACACATCCTGTTTTCATCTGCAGTTAAAAAACATCATTTTAGATCTAACTATAAAGAAATACACTACCAATAACAACCCAACAAATCATAGCCTCTGATTTCAAATGCATAGCTGTTTTAGCAACGAATGATCACAATTACAAGAACAACAACACTAATAGCATGTTGGATTTAGCATATAGCAATAGAAGCCTCCAGCAAATATCTAAAGCAAATTACTTTGACGATCATGTGAACTCCAACTAACAAAACTAAACCACCCACTACAAGCTTTTTGCTTAATAACTGTTGGTGCAAGTAAGCCAGGTATGGCAAAATACAGCTTTATGTGGCAAGCATACATGATTACAGGTTACCCTACTCATCTAATCAGTAATAGTGGGAAACTAATAGGTCCAACAGAAACAAGGCATACACCTTGTCTGATAGCAGATTATCTCATAAGCATATAAAATGCAAAAGGAAATCGAAAATGATGAAAGGGTAAATGCAGGAAACAACAGATTACCCGATCCTTAGGCCGCCATTTGGAGACCAACCCACTTTCAGCAGGAAACAAGATCACCACTAGCAAATACACACTTATAAACTTCCAACCCAAGAATCTCTTCATTCAGTCTCATCAAGTGGCTTACATATACTTTTTAGCCATTGCAACTCTCAATCAGCTTCCTCCTCTTGTAGTCTTTGGAAGAACAGTCTCTCTCTTCCCTCTCCTTTTTATTCTCACAGTAACTGCTATAAAAGATGGATACGAGGATTGGAGAAGACACAGATCAGATAGAAATGAGAACAACAAAGAATCTCTTGTGACAATCCCTTGTGACATGGTGCTAATGTGGACAAGTGATCCTAGTGGCATTGCTTACATACAAACCATGAATTTAGATGGAGAGTCGAATTTAAAGACACGTTATGCTAGAGAAGAAACATCCTTAATGCCATTAGGGTCAATATCAGGGGTAATTAGATGTGAACAACCTAATAGAAACATATATGAGTTCACAGCTAATAGAGTTAAATGGTCATAAAGTTTCCCTTAGTCAATCAACATTATCTTACGTGGGTGTCAGATGAAAAACACAAAATGGGTTATAGGTGTTGTGTATATATGCTGGACAAGAGACAAAAGCTATGCTAAATAGTGCAATTTCCCCTTCAAAAAGAAGCAGACTTGAACAAGTAATGAACTCAGAAACTATCTGGTTTTCTGTTTTTCTATTCATATTATGTCTTGTTGTTGCTATTGGGATGTGTTTATGGCTGATGAGTCATCAGGATGCAATTGATACGATTCCTTATTACAGAAAGAGCTATCTTATAAAGGGAAAGTTTCCAGGAAAACCGTATAAATACTATGGGATTCCAATGGAGATGTTTTTTTGCATTTTTGAGTTCTGTTATTGTGTTTCAGATCATGATTCCGATATCTTTATACATCATCATGGAATTGGTTCGATTAGGTCAATCTTATTTCATGATAGAAGACAAACACATGTATGATAGCAGTACAAACTCAAGGTTTCAATGCAGATCCTTAAGTATAAATGAAGATTTAGGTCAAATTTGTTATGTGTTTTCTGATAAAACTGGAACACTTACTGAAAACAAAATGGAATTCAGAAAAGCTTCTATTTTGACACGTGTATATATACTGTGTGTTTACTTGATTTCTTCAATTTTACCCCAGACCATGACTATTGACTAGCCTCTAAAAATCAGGTGTGCATGCTGAAATGGTGTTGACACGTGTATATATACTGTGTGTGTGTGTGTTGAAGAATAGTTGAAATGAAAAACTTACATGCCAACTAGAAATGGCTCTACATAAGAAAACAAGTGAACTTAAATCCACTGATGTGTTCACTTTCACCTGCAAACCAAAAAAACATAAGTAAGTTTCTGCTTCAAATCAAATCAAAAGTCAAAACCAAACAAAAGCAGATGCATACCATTGCACAGAGACCTCGAAAAGCATCCTCCTTTTGAATATCATCCCGAATGTTGTTGACATTAAGAAATTTAAGTATTGTCAAATGTTGTTTTAAGTAAAAATTCTAAGAAAAAGGAAATGAGGTTGAAGTTGTAAAAATTTTGGGACTTACATGGCTAAAGCAATATGCCATGCTTGCATGAAATGCTCCGTGTGAGGTGATACAAGCTGAGGACAAACTCATGCAAGTCTACACAGGTGATTGCACTATTTTAAGTGACTTATTAAGCCCTTCACAAATAACATCAAAAACTAATAGATGATGATACGACCCATGTTGGTAGAAGCTCCACCTGGTCGACTAGACTCGCTGTTGTTGGACCGAATTACCCCTCCACTAGTCTTGGGTGTGCCGATACTGAACTTGTTTTCATCTATCATAACAGCAAGAGTCATGGCTCTGGCCAAGTTTGCTGGCTGTAAAATACGAACGGCCGAACGTGTGTCATCCTTGAGACCATTAATGAAGGTAACTTCCAACACGATTTCTGGTATGTCTCCCAACTGACATGATAGTCTCTCAAAATTGCTTACGTAGTCACGTACAGTTCCTTCTTGTGGGATGGCGAGAAACTGATGATAGAGATTGCCTTCACCTGTTAATTGGAATCGCTCCAACAACCGTTCTTTTAAATCCTCCCAAGAGCGGAATGGGTCCCTTGCTTGACTCCAACGAAACCAAGCCAGCGCCTTGCCATCCAAGCAAATCGTTGCTGCCTTCAAACGATCACGTACACCAATGTCTTGGATCTCAAAGAAACGCTCCACCTTATAAATCCATCCAAACGCGTCCTCCCCTTCGAAAATAGGAGCTTTAATCTTCTGAAATTCTCCTATTTTTCGACCCCCACCCTTGTTCTTATCGTCCTTGGGTCCCTTTTTGAAGGATCCAAACTCGAGCTCAAATTCAGGATCTTCCTTGCCCTTCTCCTCCTCTTGAATGAGTTTCCCCTTGACAGTTTTCGTCAAGTTATTGATAGCTTGCAGGACTTCTGTGAATTGTGCAGCATTCTACTTCTTGGCGAGGTCAGCTTCCTCTCGAAGCTTGGTAAGATCCTGCTCCAGGGCTGCAACACCTGCCTCCAATCCAGCTATCTTCTCAGAATTTGTTTTTGACATGTTGACACCAGAACCGTAGCAGCTCTGATACCAATTAATAGGTTCAAGATCCTAACCCGCAGGTAGGAACCTTAACCAGGCCTCCTGTAGTTCGAGAAACATGGAATTCTCCAGCAAATCATCTAAGACTTTTATTCCAGCATAAAACGTGATTTATCCCTAGAACATTAATTATATAGTCGTATTAACCTAATCATAATCCAAAACCAGATCCTAAAAAATAGGAATTCTAAACTAAATAAAAAACTACTATTCTAATTAAAAGGAAAGCTAAATAAAAGTAAAACATTTAAAAATTCTTTCTTGAATCTTGATGATTATCCCTTCGTCGATATACTTGACCAAAATGACCAACATGGGTCATATCAGATGATTCAGATGATAAACAATAACAAATAAATAAATAAAGGACATTTGACACTTATAAAAAAGATAACTGATACTTGTCGCCATACCAATTACTTAGCAGCAACCTCAAGAAACTCAGCTAGGCGTGGGTGCAACTGACTTGGACAAACCTACTAAACAAAAAACACCAAAAAAGTTAATATATAGTTAACATAAACCATTGTTAACAACTAGGTGTAATGAAATTGGATGACTATATTCCCAAATTACCCTTTCCAGGTCTCCAAGCAATGCAAATTGATATCTTGTACAATAGTTTTGAGTCCGGCACCATCAGCGTGTGCTTTTGAGTGAATTCCTTGGGATAAGCCTTCCATATACGCTCTGTTATCCCTTTCCTTTTTGAACAAAACACCATAGCGAGACTCCAAATATCTAATAATAATCGATCGATAGAGTTTCTACATAAGTTGCAGGTGATCAAAAATGGTGGAAATTAGGAAATGTAAATTGTACCTTTAGCGAGATTAGGGTAAAGCCATCACGAATTAGAGCCATCATTACATGTGGGAGACCTAGGGGAAGTTGATCGCCTCTATCCACCTGCCAAAAAAGTGAATCGTCTTCCCGTAAGTTTTCAGCGCTTTCTCCCGATCTTGCTGCTCAACCGGACCAGGGACGCCTGGAAGGAAAAGGACGTCGCTCTTCACCTCATACTCGTGGATGTGCCACATCGGATTTTCTGAGTCCGACAAGGTTAAGAACAGTTTTTATGTTATGATGTTTTCAACTCCTATTAATCGGGCATCGGCGACTGGACGATCGTAGATCAAGCACTGTCTCATATCCTCGTTTTGATGGCGACGGAGACGGCGGCATAAATGGAAGGGGGATATCAGAGCACAAAATAGAGAGACAGGGGAGACGGGAGAGAAAAGAGTCGAATGAGTGTTTAAAAAAGCCCTAGAAATTATCCCAATGATTTTCTGATATATGAATTGTTGAGGTATACAACAGAGATGGTATCGTGATTAGGGTTTGCAGAGAAAAGGGAAGAATAGAACGAAGGGGATCTTGAAGCGGGGTATTAAAATTTTTAAGAATTTTGAGGGGATTTCATTTCCCCCTTTCAAGAACGCGCGTTTTAGTAAAAATCATAAAGCGACAATCACAGAGGACGCACGTTTTAGATAAAGTGCCCTCCGTGTTTTTATTTTTTTTACATTAGACACTAATTTAAGGGCACGTAATAATGCGTGACCTAAATACTCAAATTTTTTGAATAGACGACACGTTTTTATTGTCACTCTCTTTTGCGTAACATAAATCAGTGAGCGTCGTGATTTGCGCGTCGTGAAAGGGTCTTTTTCTTGTAGTGGTATCGCGTCTTGTGGGCTTCCCTCATGACAACATCTCTAAACCCTCCAAATTTAGGAACCCAAATACGGTTCACGAAATAGTATACTCCATTCTCCTTTGTTTCTAGGTTCTTTTCCATTCCGCGCAATGCCTCGCTAGCTCTATTTTCCGTTTTCATAGCCTCCGACTGGACCGATGCAATTTGACTGGCTAGATGAGATTGAATGGTTATCGAGAGAGTTTTCGTATGGTTATTAGAGTACTCCTTCCGACTTAATGCATCAGCTACCACGTTGGCCTTGCCTGGGTGGTACTTGATCTCACATTCATAGTCGTTTAACAATTCCACCCATCTTCGTTGTCTCATGTTCAGCTCCTTTTGGTTTAAGATGTGCTGGAGGCTCTTGTGGTCCGTGAAGATGGTGCACTTTGTACCGTACAGGTAATGCCTCCAAATCTTTAGGGCAAAGACTACAGCTCCCAACTCTAGATCATGGGTCGTATAGTTTACTTCATGCGTCTTTGGTTGACGGGATGCGTAGGCTATCACCCTCCCACGTTGCATGAGAACGCAACCTAAGCCCTGATTTGACGCATCACAGTAGACCACAAAATCCTCAGTTCCTTCAGGGGGAGATAGTACAGGTGCGCTATAGAGAGCTTGTTTCAAGGTTCGAAACGCAATCTCTTGTTTGTCTGTCCATTTGAATGGTACGCCCTTTTGCGTAAGCGAGGTAAATGGCTTGGCGATCTTAGAGAAGTTTTGAATGAATCTCCTATAGTAGCCTGCTAATCCTAAGAATTGACGAATTTCTGTGGGCGTTGTCAGGATTGCCCATCCTTCTACAGCTTTGACCTTGGAGGGATCCACATGGATTCCATCTTGGCTGACTACATGACCTAGGAAGTTCACACTTCGCAGCCAGAACTCACACTTAGAGAGTTTGGCGTAAAGTTTTTCTGATCGCAGAGTTTCTAAGATTTATCAGAGATGTTGGCCATGCTCTTTCTTGCTTCGAGAATAGACGAGGATGTCATCGATAAAAACAATGACAAAGTTGTCGAGGAACGTTCGGCAGATTCGATTCATTAGGTCCATAAATGCGGCAGGGGCATTCGTTAGACCAAAGGGCATTACGACAAATTCATAATGTCCGTAGCGGGTTCGGAAATCGGTTTTTGGAATATCCTCCTCCCGGACTTTGAGTTGGTGGTATCCGGACTGTAGGTCTATTTTAGAAAAATAACTAGCTCCTTGGAGCTGGTCAAATAGATCATCGATTCGTGGGAGTGGGTAGCGGTTCTTAATTGTGAGTTTATTTAATTCTCTGTAATCGATGCACATTCTAAAAGATCCATCTTTCTTTTTGACAAAGAGCACCGGAGCTCCCCATGGCGAGTAACTAGGTCGAATAAATCCCTTGTCCAAAAGTTCGCTGAGTTGGCTGGATAATTCCTGCATCTCGGCAGGAGCCAGCCGGTAGTGTGATTTAGCGAGAGGAGTTGCTCCTGGAATAAGGTCGATTCGAAACTCAACCTGTCTCTCTGGGGGTACTCCCCGAAGATCTTCAGGAAACACGTCCGGAAATTCACATGCTACGGGAATGTTTCGAACGTTAATCTCCTCCTTAGTTTTATCCACCACGTGAGCCAGGAACACCAGATTGTTCCTTCTTAGATATTTTTGTGCCTTGATGCACGAAACGAGGCGAAGGTTCATGCTAGATTTGTCTCCGTAAATTACTAAGGTTTCGTGATTTGGGAGACGAAGACGAATGGCCTTCTCAGGGCACATAATTTCGGCATGGTGGGGGCTTAACCAGTCCATGCCGATGATCACATCGAAACTCCTAATTGACATTGGCATTAGATCTATTCGAAAGACGTGTTGATTAAGAGTTAGGGTACATCCGGTGTAAATTTCCCTAGTGGATTCGGTTTTCCCATTGGCCATTTCCACCGTATAGGTTTCATTTAGCTTTTGGGGCAGTTGTTTTAATAAATGTTTAAACTTATTGCTTACAAAGCTTCGCTCCGCTCCGGTGTCAAATAAGATGCATGCATAAGCGTGGTTTAAGGGAAACGTACCGGTAACAACAGAGGGGTCTTGAATGGCCTCACCCTGACCCATGGTCAACATCCTTCCTGTTCCTCCATTTCTTAAATTGTTGTTGTTAGGACAGTCTCGGCGGATGTGTCCAGTCTTCCCACATCCGAAGCAGGTGTAGCTAGGCCCTGCGTTATTGCCACTGGCATAGGTGTTGTTGTTGTTGTTGGTTCCCTGATTTTGGTTCTGGGGAGGGTAAGTCTTGCAGTACTTTGCAGTGTGTCCCCTTCGGTTGCAACTGGTGCACTGAAAATCCTTGCATTCTCCATAGTGATGGAAACCGCACTTGTTGCATTTGGGAAAATTACCGGAATAAGGTTTGGAAGCATTTGAAGTGGCTGAGGTTGGAGCATGTGGTGCGGCTGGGACCGGTGCGGTAACAGCATTAACCGCCACTGTCTGCTGCTTCTTGGAGGTGTCGAGGCCCTAGCGCCCCTTCCTCTTATTGTTCCTCCCTTTCTTGCCACCATCCTCCTTTTTCTTCTCAGCCTCTACTGGCTTCTCGCCCTTTTTGTTGTTATGATCATACAACCTCTTTGCCAGTCTCTTCGCACTGTCAAACGTTTCAGGGTTCGCAGCTATCACATTCCCTTGAATGGGAGGTGTCAGTCCACAGATGAATCGCTCAATCTTCTTTCCTTCAGAGGTGATCATACCCGGGCACAGCAGTGATAGTTCGCTAAATCTCGATATGTAGGCATCGATATTCGCGTTCTGCATAGTGAGGTTCCATAGCTCTTGCTCCATCTCCAAAGATCAATACGCCAGGGCGGTGTAGGACCAGTGGGGCCTACGCGATAGGCAGCTACTCTGATCGGGTAAGGGGGGTTGATGACTTCGGACTCCGCATCCGAAACACCCCCTTCACCCTCATCAGCATCCTCCTCGAGGCTTCCTTCATCTTCCTCTGATTCGGCAGGCTCGCCATCAACTTCGGCCTCCGGTTCCCCGTCAGATTCCTCTTCGGGGTCTTCCTCGGGCTCCTCCTTAGGCTCTTCCTCGGGCTCCTCCTCTAGCCATCCGTTGTTCCCCTGGTTAGGGAAGTAGGGGTCTCCAGGGTGATGAAAACCAGCCATGTGGTCTGCGAGAGTGCGTAATTATGCTAACGTTATTCCTAGGATGCTACAATTATCACATAGATCAAGTAGGCGTTCTCTTTTCGGTGGTAGAGGTATAGTTTTAGATTCCCTATAAATCGCGATCTCATCCGGACGTGTGTTAGTTTTACTTTGGAGACAATGTAGTTGATCAGGCTACATTCACTCCTTGGTATCACTAAGAACAGTCCCGAATTAACCGAGACACTAGTATTATTTTTGTTTGGTTCTGCGTTATGTTCCTATTCCTAATGCAAGCAAGGGTGTTTTCTTTACTTGTTTTGTTCAGAGTTATGTTAGTCCCTCTTTTTGGTTTATAGTTGCATATCCATGTGTGGCTAGATATGCTAGTTCACTATAAACAGAGCTCTGATACCAACCTGTCACACCCCCGAACCAGACGGCGGAAACGTCCGAGGGCTATCGTGACTCATTGAATACCATCACAATGCATATACATGAAACATAACATAATACATCACCAACATTTGGAATGATACAACTGGTAGCGTTTACATTCATTACATTGTTCAAAACATTACATTCTCAAAAATAACTGTTTGACACTACTTAAACCACAGCAAAACGTCATAGAGTACAAATCATCCTTCACCTTATCTGTTACCTGAGAATACAAGTATTTTGAAAACTTCAACATATGAAATGTTGGTGAGTTCATAAGTAGTGTTTGAAATCCAATGTATTGTTTGAAAACCATCAGAAAATCCGATATTTTCTAAAAATAGATTAGTGTAAAAATATGTGATGATCCATGAGTATGCTTGTTTGAATTCTATAGATGTAAGCGTAAGAGTTGTGAATTTCGACCGGTAATTCATAATTGTACTTGTTGAAAACCCTAGGAAAACCCGATGTTTTCCTATCACTTTGCTTTAATTAGTTTATGTACCGTTGTTTCGTTGCATTAGAGGAAATCGTTGAGCTCCGGAGGCATTGAGAATACAGTGGGTGGTGAAGTGTTGTGACGTGCGTTAATGAAAACGTCCAATCGACAACCTTACAAGCGATCCCTTAGGCGTCACTCATAATTCTTCACACAACTCAATCCTCCCGGACTTGTGTAGTCCCACGACCGGAGGGAAGAAGAGACGGTGCGAAACCCTCGGTATTTCCCCGCGTCGTTCAAGACTATTGCAATTGCGAAGGGCCC